AGTTTGAAAAAAATAATTATATTTACAGCATATTTAGCTTCCAGAAAATTAAAAAGTGCTTTAAATGAAATGAGCATAAGCCTCAGATATATGTAAAGTAGTTTTACAAAGTAATATGAAACTCAATTATGAAATAAATAAAAATAAATCTTTTTTATTTAAAAAACACAGATAAAAAGAAAATCTAATCTTGAGATAAATAAAAATAAATCTCAATATAAAAAATCTTAATATCAGAAATATTAAAGATTTCTATTAAATGCTGTATTTCATGGGAGCGTTTATTTATTTAGTTGAATATTTATCAATAATGTTTTAATTTGGAATAAAATGGCTCTCCATATCCAGTTATTTCTCTCTGCCAAAATATACTCCAGTTATTTAACTGTGGCTGTAGCGTCACCTGAATAAGATGTTTTCTGATTTATAAGAATGCTGCAGCAGTGCAGCTGGAATAACATTCTGGTCTGGATACGCAAAATTTAAAATTTGCATACTATAAAGCAGAAGTCTGCTACTACTTTTAACATTAACTGGCTTTTAATGTCTTGTTCCAGACTTTTGTGGGAGCAAAACTGTGAGAATTGATTTAGTGTTGAAGTATCTTTCTGTTTTTAAAATGACTGTAAAATTGTTTTTTTTTTTTTTTTGAGGAATGTTTCACGGTTTGAGGATCAGACAGACACCTCTGATAGTTTCTCTATGCATTGGGGAAATGATGGCGGCAGCGGAGGAGGCTGGATGAAGGAGAGCAAGAAACCAGAGCCCGACTTCTTCCTGTCCACCGCCGTGTCTTCATTTGACGACAGGTAGGATGTTTTTGGTACTTGTATATTTTGAATTATAGTTATAGTTACTTTTGGTGTTGCTGGTTATTTTAGCCCTTCACCAACTTGTACTATTTGATGTTAAAGTAAGTTTATGTGTACAGCAACATTCATAGGATTATTCAAAGTGTTTTACAGCTAAAAGAGAAACATGGATACAAGAATTTATGTTCACGCATCACTTAAAATAAAAAAATATGTGAAACGCTGGACAATAACATAAAACATGTAACATTTTTTTTCCTGTTTTCACTGGAAGCCTTTAGTAATACTTCATATTATCTCTGATCTTGGTAATTTCTCACTTTGCATTTTTGAGAACAAAACAGTTACTTCTGTCTTTTCTGCATTTCTAATTAATTTTATAAAATATAAACTTGCATAGAGTCAGCTTATTGTTTTTTTATTAAGGATATTGTTTTGCTGCATAAACTGAGCTAGTGGGATCAAGTAGATGCTGAGGATTTCAAGTCAGCTCAAAGTGTCACAGAAAATTAAACGTTAGACTTATTTGGCAAATGTAGTCATGTTAAAATGTATACAAAGTTTTTTCCTTTTGAATAGTTGCATTCCTGTGATGTCCAACTTTTTGTCAACAGACCCATTGCCAGGAGAAAGGTTGACTTGCCGTCGTACTCGGATTCTGGAGAAGCTCAGAAAAAGTTTGGAGATGATGTCAAGGCAATTTCATCTGACATGTATTTTGGAAAACAAGACAACTCTGAGGTACAAAATGAGCAAAATCTGCATTTTATTATCATAAAATGAATACAGTTATATCCACAATTATAGGGAATTTGGAGAAAAGGGCAATTAAACACAAAAATTGATTCCCAAAAGTGTTTTAAAAAATAAATGTTCTTTTTTTTCTTTAGTATGAAACCAGGACGCGACTGGAGAGGTTTTCAGGGAGTGCCTCGATAAGTTCAGCAGACCTTTTTGATGATCCAAAGAAAGAAACTGGTAAGATACAGCTTATTTTTTGGTCATACATGTAGTACAAAAGTTATTAATTTGTAAATTACAGAATATTTTTGTGATTTTTTATTTATTTATTTTCTTCACACTGTCTATTTTAATCTGATTTCTGGACTTCCTCGTGGTAGTTCTATTCTTTCTAAATGGAAAATTGGGAAATGTGTCAAAAAGTGTGAGCAAATAAAAAATAAGGCAGTCAAAATGTATACTGTAGCAGAAAGAAGTCAGGAGAAATTTGTGAAAGCAGTAGGTTGGACATCCAGCAAACCATCACCCCACTGAGGGATTTAAAAGCTCTGCGTTTTGAGACGAATCTGTCTGCTATATTCTGAAAGCTTTCAGGTAAATGTAGTTTCTTCTCTCGTGTCATCAGAGGAATTAATATCAGCTCGCTCTGCAGTGATTGTGGCAACCATAATAGTAGTGAATGGAAGCACCTGAAAGTCCCACTTTTCTACACAAGATCAGTTTAAGTTTTACTCATCAGGGATTTGCTTTTTTATTATTATTTTTTTTTTTCTTTTTGACACGTCTGGACCTCTTCTCTTGTGTTTGACTCTTGCTTTATGTTTACAGGAAGTTCATATCGTCTGAGCAACGTGCTGCCCAACGCTCCCGACATGTCGCAACTCAAACTCGGCGTGCGCTCAGTCGCAGGCAAACTGTCGGTCATGGCTAGCGGCGTAGTCAACACAATCCAGGTTAGTCAAACACTCAACACTCTGGGAATAAAATCAGACTTGTTTATATCTTGTTAATGACTTGGTTACCTTATGTTTCTTTTTTTATTTTATTTTTTAGGACCACTACAACTCCTAAGTGGCAGTGTGAACTTCAATCACATTTTCAGGAGATCAGACGTCGACGCTCGTAGCAACTCTGCATGTTTACCACCAAAATTATTCTTTGTATATTTTTGGTATTAAACAACGTGTGCAGATATGACAAAAAAAAAAAGAAAAAATCTGATTTTTGTTTATCTTGGAGACTTGAATATCAATTACTCTGCTTTAAGGTTTCTGGGTTTGTGTATTTAGAAGTGCTTAATTAGCAGATGAAGAGTTTTTCCTTCACTTTTGTTTCTTTTTTTTTTTCTTTATCTGATCAAATCCACATTATTTGGGTTTCACCAGGACATCATGCTGTTACAGATTCCTCTTGTTGATCAACAAAAGCTTGAAAGTGTCCTTTTAGTCCCCGAAGTGCACTTAGGTTTGCTTCCTTACAGAGCAGACCAAAAGACGGCAGAAACCGTAAGGGACCAGCTGGTTTTCTAAACGTAAGCTACTATTGATTCTTTGACTTGAGGTCACACAAATGAAGTTACCAAAAGAAGAACTGATTCATTAAGCTTTCATACAATATGGTGGGAGGTTTATTAACATCCATCATGGACATGAATGTAATTTTTAATTTTGGGCTTCAGTTAAACTGCTTCTTTTTTGTTATTGTTGTTTTTAGGTAACAAACAATTTTAGTGTCTTCAAAAATGGATTGTTTGGTATAATTATTTTGCCTTGAGAAACAGGTTGAAATGCATCTTTAAAAATATGGCAAATAGTATTTATGCCCATATTTATCATGGAGTCGGGTGGTTAGCTCAGTCAAGCAGCATGAAAAGGCACAACATACTTTGTACGACTAAATTATAAATGTGAAACTGGTTTCCTCATCTCAATTTATCAAGACAATCACTATATATATTTTTCGTTACTTAAGTACCATTTAAAAAATTTGTTTACTTCAAGTAGGTTCATTGCACTATTTAAAGTGTTTAATTATTGTAATTTTCAACTTTACTGAAATTAAACATGTGCCTTTAATGCTAGTATGGTTGGATTTTGTATATTTTACAAAATTCTTCTGTAGGAACAATTTTCATTTTTGTTAGTTTTTGAATCTTCGTGTCTGCTTTTTATAAATATAAACCGTCCCATTCTGAAATTAGCCGCCTCTTTCGTGATTTAATTAATCTTGAAATATCTGTATATATTTGGCATGCACAGTGGGTTTGATCACTCGTCCTGGTTCAGCTCAATAGTTTAATAGTAAAAAAGAAACGTCCAGGAATCCACACAGTCAGAGCAGAAGTTGTTCACTCAACACTGCCGAGGATTTGCTTGGAAAATGCAACAGTTTGGCTGTAGCTCCGTATTTCCTAAATCTGTTTTTTTTTTTTTTTTTTTTTGGTGTTTATTTGGAAGTCTGGTACTCAAAAACCTAATGTTACCGTCCAAATGATGCACTATTCATACCCCCTAAATTTCTATTATCCATTACTTGACTGGTCAGAGCTATTTTGGATTGGATGCTAACATTAGTGTGTTTTCTTTTTATTTTGGAGGCAAAAGTCAAAGAATTTTACACCGTTAACAGAATATGTGTTTGCTCCCATCACCTTAAGCCTTGGGCCAAATGTCAAGGTTCTTTACTCGACTGATTGTAATGTTTTGGTGTGAATCTTGTTTTCCGTTTACTCAAAATTAGTTTTGAAAATTGCACATAGCAGCTTTGGCCTGGTTGTTTTTGGTCTCTGAGTTAAAGATGCCTTTATGTTTGCTTTGTCTCTTTCTCTATGACGTTTTGCTTTGTTACACATTTTGCTTTTTTTAATTTTGCATGTTTTTTCTGTAATTCGTACAAGACAAATCCTGAAAATAAGATGAAATCATAGTTTCCAGTAAAAGTTGTGTAGTACAGTGTTGTAAAGAGCTTTCTACTGGTTATCAATTATACTTAAAATAAAGCTACTGATGACCATTTTTGATTCAAATTTGTTATGCCTTAACTTTTCTGTTATATTTTTTTCAGCAAGTGGGCTTTTGCATGTAGGCAAAAAAGTTTATTTTTGCAAACCACAGAAAAACTAAGAATAGACTGGAAATCACTTTAAATAATTAAATAAAATGGAAGATTTGTTATATAATCCTTATCAAAATAGTTCTCTTTCTATTATAATATTTAATTAAGTAATTTGCACCTAAAATATTCAAATTAATGCTGTTAATGGTAAAATTTGTAACAAATTCGCCAACGTGGCTTGCTGCTGCGTTCATGGATGCACCAGCTATGTCAGAACTTTTAGTATTTGACACTGCTATACCTTGTGTGAACTTCATGAAAGAGCATCTAAGATTTTAAACTAGGTAAGAGAGTTATTTACGATTTAAGACGGAATTGGAGACTCGCGTAATTGTTAATGTGTTAGTTGTACTGCTTTGGTACAGTTCGAATATAAATTGACCAATTTCCCCTGAAGGCAGCACTTTTCTTGGGAGCAGTAGCGGTAACTTTAGCTAATCTCCGCTGGTAAAGTCGGATATTTATCGCTTATTTCGCTATGAATTTGTCTTTAAGTATAATATCCTGCTTTTATCTGCTACATGCGGAATAATTGACTATTTTTAAAGATTAAAACCAGGTAACGGAAGTTTAAAAGCGGGATTTTATAACTGCGAAATGCCTACGGAAATTAAACAGAGGAAAAAGTCGCAGTCTCAAAAGCAAAACGATGAAATGCCGCAAAATTCGCCCGCAAACGGTAAAGGTGAAGCACAGAAAGCGAAAACGGAGGACGGAGAGAAGAGTGGAGCAAATAAAACGTCGTCAGGTCCAGACATGAAAGGTTTGATGTGTTTACTGTCGCTGGCAGCATGCGGAGTTTTGAGCTGGTAAGTTGGCACTTTTATGGTTTTAAATGACTTTTCCTTTGCGTGTTGTTTGTTGGCTGAGAGCGTGTCGTGTTTCAGGCTGGTGCTGCAGCAGAACGAGAGGTTTTCTCTCATGGAAGAAAAGTATGAAGCTCTGCACGGGAAAACCTCCAGGCTGCTGGACATGGAGGAAGAGATGCTGCAAGTTTCCAAGAAGGTACAGGTGCTAAATTTCTCTCAAAATGTCTCAAATTTACAGATATTGGCTTTTAATTTTAAAGCCTGGTGTAATTTAAGCCGACTCGTAGTAATAGTCAAGTAATAAGCGAACGATGCGGCTGATTGGGTTGCCAGATCTGACTGTTTCCAGCCTTAGATATAATCTGATGTCAGTCATACAGATGTCAAAAAGCAACACTTTTAATATTTTTCATTTATTTTCAAGCACTGAAAAAATGAAAGCATTTTGTTTTTATTGATTCAATAAAAAAAAATTTGAGAAAGAAAAATAAACCAATTAAAAAGCAATTTTTTTTCTCACTGTCTGAAGTTAAATCTGACTAAATTTATTTTGTTTTAGGTTATTGAGAATTACCAAATCAATTTGGGACTGTGGAGGACTTAAGACTCTTTGACTACAGTCAGACTTGTTTTCTGTAGCTGCATGTTGTTTTAGTTTATGCTGTTGCCCTGGGATTTGTGTTTTACAACACTATTACATAATGATGCTTGTTTAACTGTACGACTGTTAAAAATAAGCGAACTAATGAGGTAAACGCAACAGTATGGCATTTTATGCAACGTTGTGTTCTTTTCTGCCACACAATAACTATTTAGAAACAATTTCTCTGATAGCTTTGTAAAAAAGAAAGAAAGAAAACACCCAAAGCTAGTTTTACAGCCAAATGTGTTGAAATCAGCCCAGTTGGGTGAAAACCCACCCGATCTGGCAACACTGCGAGCTCCACAGAAACCGAGCTCCTTTTCTGTGTTGCGGCTGTAGCTCGTTGCATCCGAGGACGACCTTCGGGAGGCGCGCTCTGCCGCCTCCATGGCAACCAGACTCCAGAAGGACGTCTCCGCCCTCCACGCCGTCGCCATGGCGATGCAGGCCGACGAGACCTCGGCGTCCCGCGACCTGCAGGCGGTCAACGCCCGCTTCCTGAACGTGACGGAGACGTGGCAGGAGCGGCTGGCCGCCGTCACCGCGGACCTGGCAGCCCTGAAGGCCGAGACACGGGAGGCGCACGCCGGCGCCACGGAGCGGGTGAACGAGGCCGAGCAGAGGGCCCGGGCGCTGGCGAAAAGGCTGGAGGAGCTGGAGGACAGCACGAAGAGGAACGCCCGCGTTCTGGAGCGGACGGAGGAGGACGACGCCAAGCGGGCGCAGGAGCACCTGGACTGGAACACCAAGCAGATCCACAGGCTGCAGGAGCAGATAGGCAGCCTGAGCAAAAGGGAGGCCCAGCTGACCTCTGAACTCCAGGAGCACATCCCCCGAGCCCAGCAGTGCGAGGAGCAGCTGCCGAAGGTGGAGGAGGCGGTGCGCTCCATCCTGAAGCTGAACGGCGACCTGAGCGGGGCGGAGAAGCGTTTGGAGGAAGTGACGCTGCAGGTGTTCGGCACCGAGGACAGCATGCTGAAAGCTCTGAACGAGATCCTGGACATCAGGCAGGAGCTGGACCGCCTGCAGGCCCACAACAGCATCCTGAAGATGAAGAACGAGCTGTCCGTGGTCAAAGAGGCGGTCCGTGAACTCACCATGGTACTGAGGGGAGACGGAGGAGGGACCCTGACCGACTCCGGCACTTTGGAGGATGAGGAGTGGAAGGATGAAGAGGAGGAGCCGTGGCTGGAGGAAGAGCTGAGCGAACCGACTGAACATCATCACGATGACATTCAGGGCTGAAACTGTTAATCGGGATTAATGAGGCTTTACAGTTAAAACTCTAAAAAGTTTTTGTGATACTTTTAGAACCATTTTTGTTGCAGTCAAAGCTGAACTCATCACCGATCAGGTGGATGCGCAGCGTTAGTTTTTTCTAGTTCTGAAACAATTAATTGTTGTTTTTTTTTGTTTACTTTTTTTATTAAATGATGGTTAACTAATTTCGCTGCAAAAACACAAAATCTTACAACGTATTTTTGGTCCAGTTTCGAGTGTAAATATCTCAGTAGATTTAAAAAAGACAAACTTACAAGTTACTTTTTTAGCAAGATATTGTTTACTTAAAGCATGTAAATAATTTCTTAATATTGATGAAAAATTATTGGACAGATTATTTAAGACATTTTCACATGTTCCAAGTTAATTTATCTGGCAACAGAACAAGTTCTTTTTAATCACTTTTTACTTAAAACAAGCCCCAATATCCTGCTGTGACGGGGTTCTTTTATGACTTGGGCCACCACAAAAAAATGACGGGCCAAGGCCAGGGATTACTTTAGTGAGATTTATTTTTTTTATCAGTGCAGTGAATCAACAGTGGCAAATGCATAATATTTACAAAAATGTCCAAGATGACTTAAAAATCAACACAGCACAGCAGTACCTTCAAGTCGCAGCTCATCACCTCCAATGTGACACTTCTCACGCCTAGGTGCAGACTGCCCTCTATGAAACAGAGCCCTGCTTTTATAGCTACAGGCTCCGCCCAGAGGAAGTCCCATCAAACAAAACTAAACTAAACAAAACAAAAACTAAACAATTATTTCTAACTCAAATCCTTAAAATAACAATAAGAAACAATAAGGAAGAAAAAATAAATACATTTATAATCAAAATACACCCAAACAAAAGAACAAAAACACCAGCACATTGTGATGACTACGCCACATCACGTAATTGGCTCCCGGTGCGCTCCAAACTGGAAACAACTTCCCCCAAAGAAAACCGGAAAAACATGTACCTGAAAATAACCGATTAGAATGAACGTCAAACGAAAACACCGCGTGTGCACCCACGATGAATCGCCTCAATCCAAACTAAAAGGAAAAGAAACAGGTAAGTTTATAATTGTGCATGTTTGCTAACAGGGACTCTCCGATCGTGACGGCTCCTCCGTCACACCACCCCTCTCCTCTCCAAGGTTGGCGAAATTCGGCAACCTAGAAAGAAAGTCTGCCACTTTATTAAGTCTGCCACTCCTATGACAGATGTTAAATTTGTAAGGTTGCAAGGACAAATACCACCTAGTCAGACGATGGTTACTGTCTTTCATGGTGTTGATCCAGGTCAGGGCCCGATGGTCTGTCTCCAAATCAATTCTCTGCCCAGCAGATAATACTTGAGACTTTCCAGAGCCCACTTAATTGCCAGGCCTTCTTTTTCCACTACAGAATACCTCACCTCTCGAGGTAGTAGCTTACGGCTCAGGTAGAGTATGGGTTGCTCCTCTCCAGGATCTCCTTGAGCCAGGACAGCTCCGAGACCAACTTTGGATGCATCTACCTGGACCAGGAATTTCCTACTAAAATCAGGACTTCGAAGGACAGGAGATGAACATAGATGAGCTTTCAGAGTGTTAAAAGAAGTTTCACACTCCTTGGTCCACACAACAGGATTCTTCTGATCTTTCGCTGTCAAACTGGTGAGTGGAGAAGCAAGTGTAGCAAAATGAGGCACAAACCTTCGATACCAACCAGCTAGTCCCAGGAATGACCGCACTTCCTTCTTGGTTCGAGGACGAGGGCATTTTTGGATTGCTTCCACTTTGTCCATCTGTGGTCGCACCTCTCCTCTCCCTAGCTGGTAACCCAGGTATCTGGTCTCCTGTTGTGCCCAAACACACTTTGATATGTTAAGTGTCAGTCCTGCTTCTGCAATCTTTTCCAACACTCTTGCGAGATGTGCAGCATGCTCCTCCCAGCTATTGCTGTAAATGATTACATCATCGAGGTAAGCAGCACTGTAGTCTTCACTTCCTCGCAGTACTTTGTCCATTAGCCGCTGGAAGGTGGCTGGAGCACCATGCAGGCCGAATGGCATAACAGTAAACTGAAACAGACCAGAAGGGGTGCGAAATGCTGTATACTGTCTGCTTGAAGGCTCCAAGGGAACCTGCCAGTACCCTTTACACAGGTCAAGTGTGGTAATGAATTTTGCTTGTCCAATCCTTTCCAGCAGCTCATCCACCCTGGGCATGGGATAGGCATCAAACTCTGAAACTGCATTAAGCTTTCTGAAGTCAATGCAAATCCGCAGTGAGCCATCTTTCTTACACACAATGACCACTGGACTGCACCATTCAGAGTTTGAAGGTTCAATAATACCTGATGTTAGCATGGCCTCGACTTCATCTCGCAGCTGTCCCACCAACTGCTGTGGAACTCTATATGGGCGTTGACGAATTGGCTGCTTCTCTTTCAGTCGAATTGCATGCTCAATCAAGGTGGTCCGGCCTGGATTGGAAGAAAAGAGAGGAGACAGTTTCTGAAAGATCTGCTGAAGTTGTGAGGCTTGGTGTGAGGTCAAGTGACTGAGGTTGGGGTTGACTGTCCAGCCTTCACTTCAATACCAGGAACCTCTTCTTCCTCCTCCACTTGTCTCAACAGGCATGATGTTTCTGGAGCTGGACATGATGGTTCTTTCCACTCCTTTAGCAAGTTCACATGGTAAGCCTGTGTAGCTTTCTTTTTCTCAGGATGGTAGACTTCATAGGTGGTGGGTCCTAGCTGTCGGCTGATAGTATAGGGTCCTTGCCACTTTGCCAAAAGTTTGCTGGTGGATGAGGGCAGGAGAAGCAACACCTTCTGTCCAGGACTGAAGACCCTTTGCCGTGCCTGCTGGTCATACCACCTCTTTTGCTTGTGCTGGGCCTGCAACAGGTTCTTCTCAGCTTCTTCCTGGTACTCAGCAAGCCGACCTCTCATCTGCAGCACGTACTGGACCACACCTTTGGCACTAGATGAGGTTTCTGATGCATCCCAGCCTTTCCTCAGCAGGTCTAGAGGTCCTTGAACATCCCACCCATACAGGAGTTCAAATGGGGAGAACCCGGTTGATGCCTGTGGCACCTCACGATAGGCAAAGAGAAGGAATGGTAACCAGCGGTCCCAATCTCTGCCAGTGTCATTCACAAACTTCTGCAGCATCCTCTTTAGCGTCTGGTTGAATCTTTCAACCAGTCCATCAGTCTGTGGATGGTAAGGCGTTGTCCTGATGGCTGAGATCCCAAGCTGTTTATGAAAGAGTTTTAGCAGATTAGAGGTGAAATTAGTTCCCTGGTCGGTCAAAATCTGATCTGGGACTCCAACTCTTGAAAATAGTTGGACCAGAGCTCTAACTACTGTAGGAGCAGTAATTGTGTGCAGTGGAAAAGCTTCTGGAAATCTGGTGGCATAGTCATACTACCAAGATGTACTGATGACCACGCCCTCTTCACTAGGGGTCCAACAATGTCCATTGCAACCTTACGAAAAGGAGTAGAGATGACAGGTAGTGGCTGAGGAGCGCCCGATCTGATTTCCGAGCAGGACGAGTCTTCTGGCATGTAGGACAAGAAGCACATAATGCATTAATGTCATTATACATTGACGGCCAGTAAAAACGTGAGCTGACACGCATAAATGTTTTGTGACGCCCCAAGTGCCCTGCCCATGGAATGGTGTGTGCCAATGCATGACAAGTGCCCTACAACTAGTTGGAACTACCAACCGTTGTTTTTCATTACAAGCATACAACACGCCATCTTTTAACACAAACGTTTCTCTTCCTCTCCACTTAGCATTAGTTTTTTCCTCCACTCTGTCAAATAAAGGTTGTAAAGACACATCCTGTTTCTGTAAAGTAGCAATATTTTCAGGTATCTTCCACATGTCATCCACTGTTAAATCTTGTGACACATTTCCACCCAGCAGTAGCTTTTTCTCAAATTTTTTTTGCTTTCTGGATTTTCTAGACAATTTTGGAACCTCAAACAAACTATCATCAAAATTAGGTAAGGATTCAACTTGTTCTTTGGCCTGAGAACGAGTAATCACAGGACAGGACGCATTGCTAACTTTGTCCCCCTCAGTTTGTACCTCTCCCAAAAGGTGAAACATCACAGGTAAATCTGTACCCAAAATGACATCAAAAGGTAGGTTTTTCACCACACCAACAGTTAGCAAATATGGTTGATCATCAACAATGACAGTCACTTCTGCTCTTGGATAAACATGACAATCTCCATGCACACACAAAATCTCAGTCTTCTTTTCATAGTTCACACATCCAACAGATACAAGACTCTCTTTTATGAGTGATGTGGAACTACCACTGTCTATTAATGCAGTCACCTGCAGTCCATTCACAATCACAGTTTTCTGAGTTCTAGTTTCAAAGTTTTTGACTCCAGCCTGATTTTCAGCTCTAGGAACATAGCAGGAACCAGTAAACTTTGTCTTCTTTATTGGACACACCGAAGCCTTGTGGCCCGGCTGCTGGCAATAATAGCAAATTAATGTCTTACCATTAGGCGGTGGATTCAGAGGACTGATGGTACCTTTAACCTCCTGGCTTGGATCTCTGGCATACCGTTGATGTCCAGCCGGTTGAACAGGACGTGGTACTGGATTGGAGCAACGTGCTGCTCCTCCTCGCCGTGCATTCATGTACTGAAGAGCCAACTTTGCAGCAGTCAGACCATCCTTAGGTTCATGTTCCTTCACCCAGGTCCTTACATCCGGGGGCAGAACGCTCAGCAGCTGTTCCTGGATGATGAGCTCCCCGATGTCCTCTTTGGAACGCTGGTCTGGACGGATCCATCGTCGGTAGAGACCTCTAAGACGGTGGTAAGTTTCAGTAGGAGTTTCACCAGCAGGTGTACTTGTTGCTCTGAACTTCTGTCTGTAAGTCTCTGGTGAGATGTCAAACTTTGCTAACAAAGCAGTCTTCAAGTCCTTGTAGCAGTGAGCCCGTTCCTCATCCATGGCAGCATAGGCCTCCAGCGCCTTCCCAGAAAGGAGTGGAATGAGTCGGCACGCCCATTCACTTTCTGGCCACCTCCAGGTCTTAGCAATGCGCTCAAACCGCAGCAGATAGTTTTCCAGGTCTTCTCCTAATTGATAAGGAGGAATTTTTGGATCAGTGGTGTAACTTATTGGCTGAGGTTGCCGGCTTGGATCACCATCATCACCACCACCACCATCATCATCACTTTGCTCTGCACCAGCTCCTGGCTGAAGGTGAGGGCGTGGTACTTGCTGTGGTTGCTGCAAAGACATCCTAAGATTTTGCAGTTCCTTGAGCAGCCCTTTCTCTCGCTTTTGCTGACCTGCCATAAAGTCCTTCATCAAAGTGAAAAACTCACTGCCAAACGCACTTGATCCACTGGGGCCAGGCTTTGTTTCACCTTCCTCATCTGATCCATCCGACGTCGGCATGCTCTCCAATGCTTTGTCAGCCATCTGCTCTTCCATCTTTAATTGTGATCGAAGACCAGATCTTTGCTTCACCAAACGAGACCCTCTTCCCCGGCTTGTCATAATCCCACTTCTGACACCATATGTGACGGGGTTCTTTTATGACTTGGGCCACCACAAAAAAAATGACGGGCCAAGGCCAGGGATTACTTTAGTGAGATTTATTTTTTTTATCAGTGCAGTGAATCAACAGTGGCAAATGCATAATATTTACAAAAATGTCCAAGATGACTTAAAAATCAACACAGCACAGCAGTACCTTCAAGTCGCAGCTCATCACCTCCAATGTGACACTTCTCACGCCTAGGTGCAGACTGCCCTCTATGAAACAGAGCCCTGCTTTTATAGCTACAGGCTCCGCCCAGAGGAAGTCCCATCAAACAA